TTTCCATCACTAAGTCAGGCCACGGGGCCCTAGGTGATCGCCTAACTCACCTATAGATCCAGCCCTGCTGGTACTAGTACGATCCAGTTAAGACAGTTTTATTTTTCTGACAAGGTTATCAACATAGGAATTAAATAACAGTCAGCAGTAGTGGAGCTCAGCACTTTATAAGAGTTTAATAGTGGAATCTACAATTACCTAAAAAATATAATGAACAAGCTTAAATGTTCATATTTCTTAAGGGTGGGTGCAAGGACAGTCTTGAAGAACCAAATGGTCTTTTGTTGTCCATATGTTAAAGAGTTTAAAAAGGAAATGAACAATATCCTGAAAAATAAAGGATGGGTATATATATTTTTCTCACGAGTGGATGTGTATGGAAATTTAAAGGATGAAATGATCCTTCCATTATTTATCAGTGATTACACAAATATTTAAGATTTTTTTCAATTATTTGCAGGTCGCTTAACTAGTGAGCTTTTCTAATATGTATTTTATAAGAGTGACTTATCTTATAACTGTTAATAACATTTAAATTGCATATTATTTTATAATTATAGCTTTTCAAATTTAAATTAACTCAACATATGACAATCGGTAATAGAATATTCAACTTTCTAAGTTTTTTGCTACAGTAAATATCATTTTGTAGCGTATTTACCTTGCGCTTTAAAAAAGCACCCTCTATAAAAAAAAGTTTTTAAAACTTAAAATTAAGCTTAGTAAATAGGCCACACTACAGTCTATACACTGTAACTAAACTTGTGTCGATACTCGGTGACACTGTACCACCAAGTACTTAGCTGTAACTTGTAAGTAGGCCTAGCTCCGCTCCAGCTCGTGAAGTTAAAACTTAAACGATTAACACCTCACTTCAATTTGTGTTAATTCAATAAGTGTCATGTAACTCACTGTCCTAAGTCGTGCTTAAATACCTTTACTTTTAACACATACGGGTAACAAACACTTAAAACATAATGTACTTACCTAAACCATTCTTTATTTGACGAATAATTACTCAGCCTATAAACATCAGAAGACCTCGAATGCATCCAGTAAAGCTCCCCTACTGGGGCGAAAATTGCCAAAATGTCGTTCAATCCCATGAAACTTTGCGCCAGGGCTGGTTGATGATCGTGGCTCCAGCTATTGACCATAAAACGAAATATTTCAAGTAAATATTCGTTTTCTTTCTTCCTTCATATATCAATATTTTTACCTACATATCTTTATTGTAATACTGATGTCACCAAGGTGGGTTTTAGTAATGAATAAATTGCTCGTATAATTTAACAACAATGAAAGTAAGGGCTACAAAACTGTTACCATATTCTCTATTATTGCCCCTGAAGAAGAAAGGTCCACCTTTCGAAAGCATTCGGATTATAGGGTTTTTATTCATCTCTATTATTGGTATATTTTATGGCTTGACACAACGTCAGAAAGAGATTGATAACGATAAAAGTTCGAAAAAGACCCATGGGTTTACCTAATTCAGATGTTCAATATTTAATTAGATTATAGTAAGAACATTAAAATAAATTTGTTTATTGACGCTACCATAGTGACTTTGTATTATCAGACAAGCTAAAAAAGATTCAGGCGTATAAGTAAAGCATTTGCTACCGAAGAAACAACAGCTTATTTTTTAGATATTCGCTCAAAACTATACATGAGATTCTGTTTTGTTTTAGAACAAAGCCACATTGGGCTACCTGTTGTGCCCATCGCAGGGAATCGAACCCCAGACTTTAATGTTGTAATTTAGTAGATTCACTGCTGTACCATCGGGATACTACATAAGAAACATCTTCGCTAGCCGTCCCTAAGTTTGGAGTGATAGACTAGAAGGAAGGCAGCTTGTCTACGGCACTCACCATCAAATCTTGGTCTATTCTGTCCTAATAATGGGATGTGCTCATCACTCTTATAACGTACCTATGGCTCCAAAGGGCAGAAAACCTATTGCGACAACAGAACGCAAACCGAAAACCCTCGAATTCACAGTTCACAATTTACGCTAACCACTTAGCCACACTCGGCCCATGTAGTAATGGAGAACATAAAATTTATACTATGAAAAGCATTATATACACGCGCAGAGAGAGATATTTTCTATCATAATACTTATCACGCATAAATTTTATTTTACGTTTAGTGTTTTTGTGAACCCTCGCTTATGCCCTTTGATTTGAAAGAATGATTAGAGGTGTTTAGTCTCTAGTTGGATTTATCTGACATGGATCATACAAAACGATGCAACCAACCTCGATCGTATACTTAATTGAATTGCATTATTGTCTCCTTGGCCCAATAAGATATCCTTTAGCTTGTCTTAGAATAGAATAAATTATAAGGAAAAACATATAATGTGTCAACCACACTATATCTACAGTATCCCAGTGCCGACTAGGTCTTTTGCCAATAACTTATACGTTAGTTGAAGTAAGGCAACGAAAGATTATTTGGAACAAAAAGAAAGTGATATTCTGATAAAACAGTAAGTTTTTAAACGAACTTGGCCTACGGTGGCTCAGCAATAAGCTTATGGGCTTATAACGCCAAATTCGTGGTTTGATCCTTGCAATGGGCACAGTGCAGATAGCGTCTTGTGCAACTTGATTATTAACAACAAATAAACAAACTGAATAATTAAAACGATTTGGTGTTTTATTATCCAACAAAAAGTTCCTACCGGAATCAGATTTCCTAACTGTGTTGAACAACTTCCACTTTCGTCAAACAGACCTTAAAACTCTATCCGGTAAAGTAAACTGAGCTGCTTGTATCTAGTTACATTTATTTGATGGTTTCTTTAAAAGTCCATGTTTCGGACTAACGTGCCATCTGCACCGAAGGAGTGCAACTTCATTTAAGGAAATTGTCCCTTATCAAGATTCCAGTCACCAGATTTTTGAAAGTTCTGACTTTTCCTTCTACTTCACAAGTATTCGTACATCGCTGGTAAACATTGTCCTCTCATTATAAAATAATGTTGCCCAAACTTTGTAATGTCTATAACAGACGTGAAAGTATGTTTAAAACTAAGGATTTAAGCTGATAAACAATGAACAGTGACGTGTTTAGAGACAAGCTACATACTCACCTAACAAAATGTGCCCAAGGCAAAGGAAGTTTGAACCTGCGTTTTTCTTGTATTTCACTACTTTTTTTTTTTAAATGCAATATCAGCTTCCTGTGTCAGGAGACGCACGGGTTTCCCGAACAGAAGTATCACAAGCACTCACTGCACGACGTGTTTTTCTTTTCTATACATCAACTTTCCATTACCGTTTTGTCCACACAAAAGAAGAGCGTTTCACTGTAGATTAATTTAAGAGCTTGAAAATACTTTAGGTTTCTCGACAAGTTATTAATACCTTCGGCTATCCGATGTGGTAAGCCTTATCTTTAAGATACAATAGTCAAGAAGATACTACATGTGATCAATGGTGAGCATCCTGCAGCCTTACTGGAAGTCTTACTAAAGCAGCTAGTCTCACACACATACGACATCCTCACCACCCCTCTTTTCAAAACTTGGCAAGCTTTTAAAGCGACCTCGGAATGGTTATTTTCAAACTCAGAGTGTATCTTGTCCAAGGCTTAGCGTTTACACTTATAGTCACTTATGTCATAGTTACCCAAAATAACAAGATGAAGGAAGAGGGAGATAAAGCGACGGGAAAATATAGGAGAAAAAATTACTGGTAATAGTCTGGTGTGTGTGTGTGTGTGACGAGGTCGTATGAAGTCTGTCAGCTGTATATTTACTGACTTACAACAAGAAAACCGAAGGTTCCATTACAGATTCCCCATTGTGTAGCTTTGCATTAAGAAAACAACAAGAACGTAATATTCTATTGTGCACATTCATGATCACGTAGCTTTTACTTAAATATGTTTCCTTCCGTTGTTTATTTTTTCTGCAACTGAACCACATACACGATATATATATTTTAACAGGATAATGAAACTTACAAAACATTTTTTTTTCATTTTGTTACAACCACAATAAAGTTCGGTTTCATTAACCTAATTTTTTATATTATTTAATCGATTGTTCTTTAAACAAGGTAATCAAACTCTATCAAAACCTCTAGTGGTGTCTTTTGAAAATGTGTTTATTTCTTTGAAACGATCAACATTACACTTCTATGCGGTGTTTACGTTATATCAGTAACCACGAACATTTTTGTGATTGTTTGTTTCGTTTAAAGCCACACGAGGGCTATCTGCACCAGTCGTCCTTACTATTTAACTGAGTAAGGTAGCTAAACAGTGGCATCCATCGGACACTTTGGATAGGACTTGGCTGTCACCTTTATAACGCACCCTCAGCCCCAAAGTGCGGAAAGCATTTTGCGGCAATGTGACGCGAGCAATGAATCCTTGAATCAACAGCCCGGGCACATAACTACGAAACACGCCCGAACTATCAATGTTGATGTTTGGTGTAGTTCAGCTGTGACAGGTTATGTTGGTCACAAGTAATTCCATATTGCTTTAACGCTTTCAAAATAAAACCTGATGACGTCATGATTATAACTTGCTAAATTATCAGAGAGTTGTTAAAAAAGGATAACGATAAAAGTAAGGCAATAATTTAATTTAATGTATTAATTGTGATCTAAGTTATTAAGTTCCGCGAGTTCGTTAAATTTCAGAATATAAAATTATACACACAAAACCTTTCTACCTCAACCCTGAAATTAAAATGATTCAGACTAAGATTAGGGCATAAAGCACGTAGAAGGTTTTTAATTATAAATTGAAAAAATCGCAGAACTACACTTTAAGTATAACATACATGCTGGTGTCAACAAGGATCGATATCATTCAGCGTCGGTTAACCGGAAATTTTTTCTTATTGGCTTGCTTCTCTTTTATTGACATAAAGTAGTCATGGTTACCAAATGAAAAACAAATATTTAGCGTTTCCTTTGGATTGTTTGAAGTCACATTGACTTTGGGTTACAGTTAGCAGTGAACTGCCACCCGAGAAGCAGCACATCGCAGTTCTACAGTATCCCTCATATAAACCAATACCAGAGGCATGGCAGCTGAGTTACCAACAATCACCACCAGGGTAAGTAATTGGTAAATATGGTACTATAACTAAAGGGTTCACAATCTGAGACCTTTGACCCTGGGAACCCCTGTAGTCTAACCAATCAACATGAGGGAAGCTGTCAATATAAGTAATTTTTTTGGTTTGATTTTTGAAATAATAAAGAAATATGAAAACAGATTTAAACTGTTGAGTATGAGTTATGCAGCGTACAACAATATGTATCATAAACCACAGAAACACTAAATTGAATAAGGTATATTTGTTCGCAGTTAAGCACAAATCTCCACAATGGAATATTTGTGCTCTGCCCTCCGTGGGTATCCAAACCCGATTTTTAACGTAACTTACCACTGGTCGACAGGGATGGGGTATTGTTTGTTTTGAATTTCGCGCAAAGCTACACGAGGGCTATCTGCGCTA